ATTCTTGGTAAAATTAAGTGCAAGTTCAAAATAATTTTAATTTGTTTAGATTGACTTTAGAGTTTAAATATTTGACATAACCATTGTTTAAAAATTTTAGAACGAAAAGAATTTCAAAAAACAAAATTAATTGTTGCATTTGAATTATTTTAAAAATTAAAAATAGAATTTATCCTTAAAATAAAATAAAAAATTAGTTATAAATGGCAGTTCAAACTGGAAATCCCTGGTTCCGGTTTGCCATTTTCCTAAGATGTGAACCGTCAGTTCATACTCAGAACCGAACCGTGGTCACATCCACTAACACTAAATTAAATGTTGCAATAATTTGAATTTTAAATAACATTCATCAACCCTTATTAACTAATTGATGCACATTCATGGAAGAATCTAAAGAGATATAGTCAGGGTTAAAGTTCTCTGATGTTAATCACCACCGTCGTACGCAAGATAACCGCTATGGTGTCGCTAAACAACTGTAATTTTATTGGCTCTTCTGTGATGTGTTTTCCAACGGCCAAGAATTCTGAACGGAAAGATGTTTTACACGGCCTGTGGGGATTTTTACCAACCGTTGTTTGTAGTCCTCGCCGTCAAGATCGCCTAGCGTAAGGATGGAATTCATCTTCCGAATGTTCTTTGGTTCCATTCAACCATCCACGTGTGGGATGAAACCCTAGATTATCGTTGAAAAGCCGGTGAGGGGGACAGGACTCGCGAAAGAGAGCGGGAGAAAAAATTCCAATAGTCTCGACTGATATTCCTATTTTAACAAATCTAATCACCTTAAAATGGAGTAATATGGATATTAAAGTTTAAACAAAAGGCAAAATGGCAACAACAATGACAATATCAATAATAAAATATGTCTTGCTCTTGTAGCTCAGTTGGTTAAAGCACCTGTTTAGTAAGCGGGAGGTCTTGAGTTCAACTCCCTATTTAAAGTAATACTAACAATCTGCAATAATCACAAAAAGTAATTAAGATATAGGAGAACGAATTCTTCATTTTAAGTTTTATATCATAGACAACTTAATCTTGGTAAAATTAAGTGCAAGTTCAAAATAATTTTAATTTTTTTGGTTTGACTTTAGAGTTTAAATATTTGATATAACCATTGTTTAAAAATTTAAGAACGAAAAGAATTTCAAAAAAAAAATTAATTGTTGCATTTGAATTATTTTAAAAATTAAAAATAGAATTTATCCTTAAAATAAAATAAAAAATTAGTTATAAATGGCAGTTCAAACTGGAAATCCCCGGTTCCGGTTTGCCATTTTCCTAAGATGTGAACCGTCAGTTCATATTCAGAACCGAACCGTGGTCACAACCACTAACACTAAATTAAATGTTGCAATAATTTGAATTTTAAATAACATTCATCAACCCTTATTAACTAATTGATGCACATTCATGGAAGAATCTAAAGAGATATAGTCAGGGTTAAAGTTCTCTGATGTTAATCCCCATCGTCGTACGCAAGATAACCGCTATGGTGTCGCTAAACAACTGTAATTTTATTGGCTCTTCTGTGATGTGTTTTCCAACGGCCAAGAATTCTGAACGGAAAGATGTTTTACACGGCCTGTGGGGATTTTTACCAACCGTTGTTTGTAGTCCTCATCGTCAAGTTCGCCTAGCGTAAGGATGGAATTCATCTTCCGAATGTTCTTTGGTTCCATTCAACCATCCACGTGTGGGATGAAACCCTAGATTATCGTTGAAAAGCCGGTGAGGGGGACAGGACTCGCGAAAGAGAGCGGGAGAAAAAATTCCAATAGTCTCGACTGATATTCCTATTTTAACAAATCTAATCACCTTAAAATGGAGTAATATGGATATTAAAGTTTAAACAAAAGGCAAAATGGCAACAACAATGACAATATCAATAATAAAATATGTCTTGCTCTTGTAGCTCAGTTGGTTAAAGCACCTGTTTAGTAAGCGGGAGGTCTTGAGTTCAACTCTCAAACTAAAGTAATACTAACAATCTGCAATAATCACAAAAAGTAATTAAGATATAGGAGAACGAATTCTTCATTTTAAGTTTTATATCATAGACAACTTAATCTTGGTAAAATTAAGTGCAAGTTCAAAATAATTTTAATTTTTTTGGTTTGACTTTAGAGTTTAAATATTTGATATAACCATTGTTTAAAAATTTAAGAACGAAAAGAATTTCAAAAAACAAAATTAATTGTTGCCTTTGAATTATTTTAAAAATTAAAAATAGAATTTATCCACAAAATAAAATAAAAAATTAGTTCGAAATGGCAATTCAAACTGGAAATCCCCGATTCCGGTTTACCATTTTCCAGAGATGTGAACTGTCAGTTCATACTCGGAACCGAACCGTGGTCACATCCACTAACACTAAATTAAATGTTGCAAAAATTTGAATTGGAAATATCATTCGTCAATCCTTAATAAATAAATGATGCACATTCATGGAAGAATCTACGGAGATAGAGTCAAGGTTAAAGTTCTCTGATGTTAATCCCCATCGTCGTACGCAAGATAACCGCTATGGTGTCACTAAAGTACTCTAATTTTATTGGCATGTCTGTAATTTGTTTTCCTACAGCCAAGAATTCTGAACGGAAAGATGTTTTACATGGCCTGTGGCGATGTTTACCATCCGTTGTTTGTTGTCCTCGTCGTCAAGATCGCAATGCGTAAGGATGGCATTCATTTTCCGAATGTTCTTTGGTTCCATTCAACCATCCATGTGTGGGATGAAACCCTAGATTATCGTTGAAAAGCCGGTGAGGGGGACAGGACTCGCGAAAGAGAGCGAGAGAAAAAATTCAAATAGTCTCGACTGATTTCCCATTTTATCAAATCTAATCACCTTAAAATGGAGTAATAAGGATATTAAAGTTTAAACAAAAGGAAAAATGACAAGAAAAATGACAATATCAATAATAAAAATTTTGTAGCTCTTCTAGCTCAGTTGGTTAGAGCACCTGTTTAGTAAGCGGGAGGTCTTGAGTTCAACTCTCGCTATGAAACAGAACTAACAATCTACAATAATCACAAAAAGTAATAAAGATATAGGAGAATGAATTCTACATTTTAAGTTTTATATCATAGACAACTTAATCTTTGTAAAATTAAGTGCAAGTTCAAAATAATTTTAATTTTTTTAGTTTAACTTTAGAGTTTAAATATTTGATATAACCATTGTTTAAAAATTTAAGAACGAAAAGAATTTCAAAAAACAAAATTAATTGTTGCCTTTGAATTATTTTAAAAATTAAAAATAGAATTTATCCAAAAAATAAAATAAAAAATTAGTTCGAAATGGCGGTTCAAACTGTAAATCCTCGGTTACGGTTAGCCATTTTCCGGAGATGTGAACCGTCAGTTCATACTCAGAACCGAACCGTGGCCACATCCACTAACACTAAGTTAAATGTCGCAAAAATTTGAATTGTAAATAACATGCGTCAACCTTTAAAAACAAAATGATGCAGATTCATGGAAGAATCTAAAGAGATATAGTCAGGGTTAAAGTTCTCTGATGTTAATCCCCATCGTCGTACGTAAGATAACCTCTATGGTGTCGCTAAAGAACTGTAATTTTTTTGGCATGTCTGTGATGTGTTTTCCAACGGCCAAGAATTCTTTACGGAAAGATGTTTTACACGGCCTGTGGGGATTTTTACCAACCGTTGATTGTTGTCCTCATCGTCAAGATCGCCTAGCGTAAGGATGGAATTCATCTTCCGAATGTTCTTTGGTTCCATTCAACCATCCACGTGTGGGATGAAACCCTAGATTATCGTTGAAAAGCCGGTGAGGGGGACAGGACTCGCGAAAGAGAGCGAGAGAAAAAATTCCAATAGTCTCGACTGATATTCCTATTTTTACAAGTCTAATCACCTTAAAATGGAGTAATATGGATATTTAAGTTTAAACAAAAGGCAAAATGGCAACAACAATGACAATATCAATAATAAAAAATGTCTTGCTCTTGTAGCCCAGTTAGTTAAAGTACCCGTTTAGTAAGCGGGAGGTCTTGAGTTCAACTCTCAATTTAAAATAATACTAACAACCTACAATACTCACAAAAAGTAATTAAGATATAGGAGAATGAATTCTTCATTTTAAGTTTTATATCATAGACTACTTAATCTTGGTAAAATTAAGTGCAAGTTCAAAATAATTTTAATTTTTTTGGTTTGACTTTAGAGTTTAAATATTTGATATAACCATTGTTTAAAAATTTTAGAACTAAAAGAATTTCAAAAAAAAAAATTAATTGTTGCCTTTGAATTAGTTTAAAAATGAAAAATAGAATTTATCCACAAAATAAAATAAAAAATTACTTGGAAATGGCAATTCAAACTGGAAATCCCTGGTTCCGGTTTGCCATTTTCCAGAGATGTGAACTGTCAGTTCATACTCGGAACCGAACCGTGGTCACATCCACTAACACTAAATTAAATGTTGCAAAAATTTGAATTGAAAATAACATTCGTCAATCCTTAATAACATAATGATGCACATTCATGGAAGAACCTAAAGAGATAGAGTCATGGTTCTCTGATGTTAATTCCCATCGTCGTACGCAAGATAACCGCTATTGTGTCGCTAAAGTACTGTAATTTTATTGGCATGTCTGTAATTTGTTTTCCTACGGCCAAGAATTCTGAACGGAAAGATGTTTTACATGGCCTGTGGCGATGTTTACCAACTGTTGTTTGTTGTCCTCGTCGTCAAGATCACATAGCGTAAGGATGGCATTCATTTTCCGAATGTTCTTTGGTTCCATTCAACCATCCACGTGTGGGATGAAACCCTAGATTATCGTTGAAAATCCGGTGAGGGGGACAGGACTCGCGAAAGAGAGCGAGAGAAAAAATTCCAATAGTCTCGACTGATATTCCCATTTTAACAAATCTAATCACCTTAATATGGAGTAATAAGGATATTAAAGTTTAAATAAAAGGCAAAATGATAACAACAATGACAATATCAATAATAAAAAATGTCTAGCTCTTGTAGCTTAGTTGGTTAGAGCACTCGTTTGGTAAGCGGGTGGTCTTGAGTTCAACTCTTGGTAAGAGCAAATCTAAATTCCAAATTTAAAACGATACTACTGATCTACAACAATCACAAAAAATAATAAAGATATAGGAGAATGAATTCTTCATTTTACGGTTTATATCATAGACAACTTATTCTTGGTAAAATTAAGTGCAAGTTCAAAATAATTTTAATTTTTTTAGTTTGACTTTAGAGTTTAAATATTTGACATAACCATTGCTTAAAAATTTAAGAACGAAAAGAAATTCAAAAAAGAAAATTAATTGTTGCCTTTGAATTATTTTAAAAATTAAAAATAGAATTTATCCACAAAATAAAATAAAAAATTAGTTCGAAATGGCAGTTCAAACTGGAAATCCCCGGTTCCGGTTTGCCATTTTCCTGAGATGTGAACCATCAGTTCATACTCGGAACTGAACCGTGGTCACATCCACTAACACTAAATTAAATGTTGCAATTATTTGAATTGTAAATAACATGCGTCAATCCTTAATAACTAAATAATGCACATTCATGGAAGAATCTAAAGAGATAGAGTCAAGGTTAAGGTTCTCTGATGTTAATCCCCATCGTCGTACGCAAGATAACCTCTATGGTGTCGCTAAAGAACTGTAATTTTATTGGCATGTCTGTAATTTGTTTTCCTACGGCCAAGAATTCTGAACGGTAAGATGTTTTACATGGCATGTGGCGATGTTTTCCAACCGTTGTTTGTTGTCCTCGTCGTCAAGATCGCCTATCGTAAGGATGGCATTCAACTTCCGAATGTTCTTTGGTTCCATTCAACCATCCACCTGTGGGATGAAACCCTATATTATCGTTGAAAATCCGGTGAGGGGGACAGGACTCGCGAAAGAGAGCGAGAGAAAAAATTCCAGTAATCTCGACTGATATTCCCATTTTTATAAATCTAATCACCTTAAAATGGAGTAATAAGGATATTAAAGTTTAAATAAAAGGCAAAATGATAACAACAATGACAATATCAATAATTAAAAATGTTTAGCTCTTGTAGCTCAGTTGGTTAGGGCACCGCTTTAGTAAGCGAGTGGTCTTGAGTTCAACCCTCGAGAAGAGGAAATCTTAATTCCATATTTAAAATGATACTACCGATCTACAACAATCACAAAAAATAATAAAGATATAGGAGAATGAATTCTTCATTTTAAGGTTTATATCATAGACAACTTATTCTTGGTAAAATTAAGTGCAAGTTCAAAATAATTTTAATTTTTTTAGTTTGACTTTAGAGTTTAAATATTTGACATAACCATTGTTTAAAAATTTAAGAACGAAAAGAATTTCAAAAAACAAAATTAATTGTTGCATATGAATTATTTTAAAAATTAAAAATAGAATTTATCCACAAAATAAAATAAAAAATTAGTTCGAAATGGCAGTTCAAACTCGAAATCCCCGGTTCCGGTTTGCCATTTTCCTGAGATGTGAACCGTCAGTTCATACTCGGAACCGAACCGTGGTCACATCCACTAACACTAAATTAAATGTTGCAATTATTTGAATTGTAAATAACATGCGTCAATCCTTAATAACTAAATGATGCACATTCATGGAAGAATCTAAAGAGATAGAGTCAAGGTTAAAGTTCTCTGATGTTAATCCCCATCGTCGTACGCAAGATAACCGCTATGGTGTCGCTAAAGTACTGTAATTTTATTGGCATGTTTGTAATTTGTTTTCCTACGGCCAAGAATTCTGAACGTAAAGAAGTTTTACATGGCATGTGGCGATGTTTTCCAACCGTTGTTTGTTGTCCTCGTCGTTAAGATCGCCTAGCGTAAGGATGGCATTTATCTTCCGAACGTTCTTTGGTTCCATTCAACCATCCACGTGTGGGAAGAAACCCTAGATTATCGTTGAAAAGCCGGTAAGGGGATAGGACTCGAGAAAGAGAGCAAGAGAAAAAATTCCAATAGTCTCGACTGATATTCCCATTTTAACAAATCTAATCACCTTAAAATGGAGTAATAAGGATATTAAAGTTTAAACAAAAGGCAAAATAACAAGAAAAATGACAATATCAATAATAAAAAATGTGTAGCTCTTCTAGCTTAGTTGGTTAGAGCACCCGTTTAGTAAGCGGGAGGTCTTGAGTTCAACTCTTCATTTAAAATAATACTAACAATCTACAATAATCACAAATAATAGTTAAGATATAGGTGAATGAATTCTTCATTTTAAGTTTTATATCATAGACAACTTAATCTTGGTAAAATTAAGTGCAAGTTGAAAATAATTTTAATTTTTTTAGTTTGACGTTAGAGTTTAAATATTTGATATAACCATTGTTTAAAAATTTAAGAACGAAAAGAATTTAAAAAAAAAATTAATTGTTGCTTTTGAATTATTTTAAAAATTAAAAATAGAATTTATCCAAAAAATAAAAAAAAAAATTAGTTCGAAATGGCAGTTCAAACTGGAAATCCCCGGTACCGGTTTAGCATTTTCCGGAGATGTGAACCGTCAGTTCATACTCAGAACCGAACCGTGGTCACATCCACTAACACAAAATTAAATGTTGCAATAATTTGAATTGTAAATAACATTCATCAACCCTTATAAACTAATTGATGCACATTCATGGAAGAATCTAAAGAGATATAGTCAGGGTTAAAGTTCTCTGATGTTAATCCCCATCGTCGTACGCAAGATAACCGCTATGGTGTCGCTAAACAACTGTAATTTTATTGGCATGTCTGTGATGTGTTTTCCAACGACCAAGAATTCTGAACGGAAAGATGTTTTACATGGCCTGTGAGGATTTTTACCAACCGTTGTTTGTTGTCCTCGTCGTCAAGATCTCCTAGCGTAAGGATGGCATTCATCTTCTGAATGTTCTTTGGTTCCATTCAACCATCCACGTGTGGGATGAAACCCTAGATTATCGTTGAAAAGCCGATGAGGGGAACAGGACTCGCGAAAGAGAGCGAGAGAAAAAATTCCAATAGTCTCGACTGATATTCCCATTTTAACAAATCTAATCATCTTAAAATGGAGTAATAAGGATATTAAAGTTAAATCAAAAGGCAAAATGGCAACAACAATGACAATATCAATAATAAAAAATGTCTTGCTCTTGTAGCTCAGTTGGTTAGAGCAGTCGTTTAGTAAGCGGGAGGTCTTGAGAACCACTCTCAAAAAGAGGAAATCTCAATTCCAAATTTAAAATGATACTACCAATCTTCAATAATCACAAAAATTAATAAAGATATAGGAGAATGAATTCTTCATTTTAAGTTTTATATCATAGACAACTTAATCTTGGTAAAATTAAGTGCAAGTTCAAAATAATTTTAACTTTTTTAGTTTGACTTTAGAGTTTAAATATTTGATATAACCATTGTTTAAAAATTTAAGAACGAAAAAATTTCAAAAAACAAAATTAATTGTTTCCTTTGAATTATTTTAAAAATTAAAAATAGAATTTATCCAAAAAATAAAATAAAAAATTAGTTACAAAAGGCGGTTCAAACTGTAAATCCTCGGATACGGTTAGCCATTTTCCGGAGATGTGAACCGTCAGTTCATACTCAGAACCGAACCGTGGTCACATCCACTAACACTAAATTAAATGTTGCAAAAATTTGAATTGTAAATAACATGTGTCAACCCTTAAAAACTAAATGATGCAGATTCATGGAAGAATCTAAAGTGATAGAGTCAAGGTTAAAGTTCTCTGATGTTAATCCCCATCATCGTACGCAAGATAACCGCTATGGTTTCTCTAAAGTACTATAATTTTATTGGCATGTCTGTAATGTGTTTTCCTACGGCCATGAATTCAGAACGGAAAGGTGTTTTAAATGGTCTGTGGCGATGTTTACCAACCGTTGTTTGTTGTCCTCGTCGTCAAGATCGTCGAGCTTAAGGATGGCATTCATCTTCCGAATGTTCTTTGGTTCCATTCAACCATCCACGTGTGGGAAGAAACCCTAGATTATGGTTGAAAAGCCGGTGAGGGGGACAGGACTCGCGAAAGAGAGCGAGAGATAAAATTCCAATAGTCACGACTGATATTCCCATTTTAACAAATCAAATCACCTTAAAATGGAGTAATAAGGATATTAAAGTTGAAAAAAAAAGGCAAAATGATAACATCAATGACAATATCAATAATAAAAAATGTCTAACTCTTGTAGCTCAGTTGGTTAGAGCATCCGTTTAGTAAGAGGGAGGTCTTGAGTTCAACTCTCAACAAGAGCACATCTCAATTCCAAATTTAAAATGATATAGTACCAATCTACAATAATCTCAAAAAATAATAAAGATATAGGAGAATGAATTCTTCATTTTAAGTTTTATATCATAGACAACTTAATATTGGTAAAATTAAGTGCAAGTTCAAAATAATTTTAAATTTTTTAGTTTGACTTTAGAGTTTAAATATTTGATATAACCATTGTTTAAAAATTTAAGAATGAAAAGAATTTCAAAAACAAAATTAATTGTTGCCTTTGAATTATTTTAAAAATTAAAATTAGAATTTATCCAAAAAAAAAAAACTTAGTTCGAAATGGCAGTTCAAACTGGAAATCCCCGGTTCCGGTTTGCCATTTTCCGGAGATGTGAACCGTCTGTTCATACTCAGAACCGAACCGTGGTCACATCCACTAACACTAAATTAAATGTTGCAAAAATTTGAATTGAAAATAACATGCGTCAAAGCTTAATAACTAAATGATGCACATTCATGGAAGAATCTAAAGAGATATAGTCAGGGTTAAAGTTCTCTGATGTTAATTCCCATCGTCGTACGCAAGATAACAGCTATGGTGTCGCTAAAGTACTGTAATTTTATTGGCATGTCTGTAATATGTTTTCCTACGGCCAAGAATTCTGAATGGAAAGATGTTTTACATTGCCTGTGGCGATGTTTACCAATCGTTGTTTGTTGTCCTCGTCGCCAAGATCGCCATGCGTAAGGATGGCATTCATCTTCAGAATGTTCTTTGGTTCCATTCAACCATCCACGTGTGGAATGAAACCCTAGATTATCGTTGA